GTATTGAAATCCATATCATTGTAAAAGTATCAACAAAATACAATATAAAGGATGAAGGATAATTACATTTTCAATGAATGAGAAGAGGTGACAAGTAACAATATGTGAATAATAAAAAATTAATATAAAAACAATACGTGGATTTACTTGGTTTTTATTGTCTGTATCTTCAACATCTTCAGATGCGAAACGATTTCTTCTGATGTGCAACATTAATGAGCAATTAATCATTCATGTCACCTTACGCAAATAAGACACCAATATCACCACGCCATGCTGGGATGCAGTCTGAGAGCTATAGCAGCATTAATAATGCAATAAAGTGATGATGACTGTAGTAACGACTGGTGGCTCATCTCTGATGCTGAACAAGTTCAAGGTCAGTCTAGAAATGAAATGTCTAGCTGACTTTTAGACATTAAAGTTTATATTTGCCTCATTTGGAAGCACATCTAGTGGAAGTGATTTTTACTATTGCATTCCTTTAATTGCTTATGAGACAAAAACATTATCATTTCCTTGGAAAAGGAAGCTTTTTTTTATGAAAATTTTTATTTAAAAAAACATAGCACTAATTTGAAAATCATATATTCATATATATTTTTTTAATCCATAAAAATGCAGTTTTTAGTTTTTGCATTTCATGTCTTGTAAAATTACAAATATGAATATTTAATTATATTCATCCGGCCGAAATCCGATAACGGGTTATTGTGGTCAATTAAAATACACAAAAAATTATATTCGAGAAATTATCTGTATTCTAGTACTACATGGACGTACTTTATGAAAGCACAATAACTCCCTCCAAAGTTTGTAAAATAGCAAAGGACACGATGTGAGCTATAGAAGCTATATATATCTACAACACTCCTCTGTTTACCATGACTTTACCACAACTACATATTTCTGTATATACCCATCCATTTTTTTGTTATTTCGGCTGCTAACTACTACTCTTCGCTGGGCCCTCCGATACTCCGCAGAGAGGGCCCTAGTTCATTATTAGACAAACTACCAACTCTGCTGAACCTTTCACTGCACACACACACACACATACACACATTATTTTAAGTAATTATTTTTATATTATATTTTCATATAATGACAAAAATCAATAGAGACTTACTTACTCCGGGCTTTCTCAACTATTATATACATTGTTGGAATTTCCATTTATCTTACCTGCAAATAAGATATAATAAAAAAAATTAATTAATGATAAAAACATCATTAAACATAAATTTCTAAAATTAAGATAGTGTCCACACTAAGGTAAGACACGCTTCTAGTTTGGAAGATAACACATTTCCAATATCAGAAAATCAATTTGCCTAATTGCGAACATTATAGCGCCATTTCGGTGCACGTTTGCGTAAACACCCCGGCTGCACCCATAAGAATAAAAGAGACGAAAAAGTAAATAAATAAAATAAAATTCTTAATGTGTGAAAAAAAGAAAACTACTAAAAATATTCCAAAAAAAATTTAGGTTGAATCCAACCTTAAAACACACTTCATCCTATGCAAAAAGCGATTTATACTGTTGCTACAATATCTCTGGTTGTTACACGAACTTTCTGCTTCAAGACCTATCAACGTCTGTAATCCACACTATCTTGTAAATATAGTTATTTATAGTCGCTTGTATATATGGTTTAAAATCGGTATTCAACGATTAGTCATATAGAATCTAGTACAATCTCTACTACAATCCTGAAGAGATCTAAGTTATGATCATTTTAGTAGAGCGACAGATTGAAATAAGATATATTAAATCTCATTGTTTGATAAGTTACGGACATATATAAAGAATACACCTCAAGCAAGTAACCAAAAATGCATTTATGAGAATATGACAGTAGAATCGGACCGGGTAAAATATGCTAAGTAATGTGTAAGGGGACCTCAACAAAATTGGTGAGCATGATCCAAGTATCATGATATAAATAGATAAAATTATATGCATTGGATAAATTATTACAAAATTAACATTCATGATATAGGGTTGTAGAGGCAGAAAATTATAGGTCAATGATGTAGTAGCTGGAGTCATAAAATAGGTGTAAGTGATTCAAGTGTCTTGAGAGAGGTAGAAACACTACAATGCATTTGTTAAAGAAACACAAGTTAATCGATATTTTCGGCTTAAGCAAATATCAGTAAGCGCATCTACAAGGGTGGGGGTAGTAGAAGAATCGATGAAGTAGTATGCGACTTTAATAAAGTGGGTGAATGGGATTAGAATGCCATGGCTTACATCGCTGAGATGGAATGTATTTATTATTGAAACAAAAATTCAACAAAGATTTTATCACAAACAACAAGAATTGGTTATATTGAGTCTGGTACAATCACGAGTCCGATTATATTATATAGTAGCAGAATCAAATCAAATACAAATTTTAAATATTAACATTTGAATCTTAAAATTTAAGATGTTAAGGATATATACTAAAAATACTCCAAGCAAAACAAGGACTCACAAGAGTAAAGATGTGTAAGTTGGTAGAGGAGCAAATGGCAATCTCTGTTAAGCAACCTCAACAGAAATAAATGTCGTGCGTGATTTAAATGTCATCGTATAGATTGGAGAAATGGTGTCCATTGATTATATAAGTCCATAGAGGACTGTACTAATAATTAGGAGGTAGAAGAAACACAGTAAAATCATTTTTTTGCTTCTTCGCTGCTTTTTTATAGCACATCTTCTTAAGCTTCTTTAAACAAGTTTCTTATTTTCTGCAGTTATTCCCAGCCTCACTTTTCCAATCTTATTCTAATACTATATTTATACTAATTTTGGTATCTTCTTTTAAAACGTCACAAATTGAAACACAAAGTTATAATGCTTCTTCGCAAAGTGCTTAGAGTTTAATAAGTCCAACAAATCCCTCACACTTCTAACAATTGTGTCATCAAATCTGGCACATCATGACAAATTAAACGAAAACAAATATAAAAAAGATACGACGAGGAAAAACTAGCAGAGAAAATATTTATGTTGGAAATTATTTTCCAAATGGCCAATTTTATTTTCTTAACTATGCTCCACGATGGCCTAATAGAAAAAGTTAGTAGTTCGCAACTTTGTGTTTGTGGCATTTACAACGAATGGACACAGGTGTGTCCTGTGTTCTTTGCATAAAATACTTATAGTTCCTTTCCTCATTTTTTGCTTTCCCTATTGCATGCCTAATAAAGCTAAGGACACAGCAGTTATGTTGGCTTTTTAATAGAAATTTCAGCATAAAATTGATTTTTATTGATTGCGAGCCATTGTGGCATGAGAAAATTCTGCTACTCTACTCCTTTTTTTTTTGTGTTAGAGTAAAGCACTTTGGAATTCCTAAGCGAATTAATAAAGTGTTATTTTGATGGCATTAAATTGGGTCAAAATGTTGAAGAAAATGTAGAAAAATTACTCCTAGTCAAGGGAGGACATTTTGAACACTTTTAATGATTTTATTTCTAGAAAGGATGATAAAAATTTAAAGGTTTAAAAGATTCAGAAAACTTCTCAAATAATGAAATTCATAAAAAATATATTTTTTAGTAAATACTGAACAGTGAAATAAACGAAAACATTATTCGTCAAGAAGTTCGATGGAGTCCTCAAGGCAGAGGTCTACGCGTTGGCGCACCAGCAAGAACATAGAGAAGATTAATACAATTAGAAAGCTGCGAAAATTACTCCTGGAATGATATCAGCCGTGAATCGCGCAATAGAGTTCGCTATAAGAAACTGGTCGAGGCCCAATACTCCACTGGGAGATGAGAATGACAGAGGAAGAAAAAAAATTAATATTAAAGAAAATGATGGTAAAACTAGGACTTATTAGATAGTTCAAGTATTGAAGATAAACAGTACTATATACAAAGTTTACTTTAAAACATTTTCCTAAAAAAAAACTTTTAATTAAAATTAGAATTTTCACATCCCTCCTTATGTTCTTACTTCAGTAGTCCTTTTATAAATCTATGGAATATGAAAAGTGCGAGCAAATAGAGTTCCTTAGTTGTGTAGTCTTCGATTTTGCCAGCAGAAGTATCCGCTTGTATCTGATTATCATCCAAAATTACAAATTTGTTGAGGGCAATAATATGCAAATTGTGACTTTCTGTTGCATATTTTTAGGAGTGGCGGAAGTAAACAGTTTTCACTTCAATTATTAAATAAAAAAAATTCACAGTTTTTATGGTTTTAAAACAAAATTTCTATTGTGAATGACTAATGTACTTAATTTGCCGAAAAGTAGGCAATGTTTTTGGCCATGGAATTTATTCATTTTGAATAAGTAACTAGAAATGACTTTGGTAGGATAATCAAATGCTGTGATCTACTAGTACTTTGCGTTGTTTTGGTTCAAGAATGAAGAAGCAGGATGTAAATAAAAAAACAAGATATCATTATGTGACTTCAAGGTATCATAATCATAACTTGAAGTCGCAGAAAGTTATTACATATTGTTGAAGATCTTTCTGATCCCTTATTTAATATTCAGTAATCTTCACTGAAAAAATTGAATAATTATTAGGAGGTAAAAAACTTCTTTCTTAAGACCTACTAATACCGAATTAGGGATTATTGGAATGCAATCCACATATTAATCTTCTAATTATCTATATGCTTTTTATATACATATATGCTTTTTATTTCAAACTAAAAATACAATGCGTAAGAGAGCTGTGACGCCGCGTATGAAGCATTTCATTCTATCACAATTCGTACGAATCGTTCATCCAGTTAATGTGAAATAAATTATTCTAATTAAAATGAGTTATTTTCGATTTTGTTAATTAAGTAAATAAATTGCTTTATTTTTCAAATAGTTTTTACTTTTAGTTACGTGTTTTCTACCTAACTGAATGACATGTAATCAATTTTTTAGAGAAAATAGTCAAACTCTGAGGAAACTATGGAAACCACAAGTAGGAGCATTCGGCAAAGGAAAAGATATGAAATGTTGCTAATACTCTATCTAAATATAATTGTTATCATGCCCAACATAAAACTAGTAAGTAGTTATGACATCAAGTGATATAGTTATAAGGAACCAATTAAAAACTTTTTTAACAACTAATTCCATTTGAAGGTAGCGGCACACTGCAAATTCACAAACCTGCATTGTGAGACCTTTGACAAACAGGCCCTGGAATTTAAGAAGTGCTATATAAAGGCAGTTAGTCGTGATTATAACTATATAACCATATTTATTAATCTTAAAGAGGTGGTTAGGAAAGTTAAGGTTTGTCAACAAATCCCAGAATTTAGTGAAAGCTTTCAAGGTAATAATATTATGTATGCTTCTTTAGGTACGCGTTTCTCTTTTAAAACGTGCTAATGGTTGGAAACCATTTTTGTATGATATCAACGTGGATGGCTGTCAGTTTATACGAAATCCAGCTAGAAATCCAGTAGCCAATCTCTTCTATCAATTTCTAAAGGAATTCTCAAATATAAATCATGCGTGTCCTTATGATGTGAGTTCAGGGAATTCAATTAAGGCTTGCATTCAACTTTTACTCTAATACTCTTTTTTATTTTATTACTATAGTATATAGTAATTATATTTTATTAATAGTATAATAACTTTTTTTATTCGATTTCTTGATAAAAAACTATTTTTTAGCATGATGTACTTATCGATAAGCTGACCATACTGAATGGAACAGTCAAATTACCATTTCCTTTAGGAGAATATGCTCTAGACACACAATGGGTTATCAATAATCGCATGCTCCTACGTGTTAATGGCTCTTGCATATATTGGAAGGAATGAATAAATATATACATATATATATTTTTAACTATAGATGTAAAGTGAAGTATTTATTTGACTGTTCAATAAAATTTTAAAAATAAAATATTCCGAAAATAAGTTGAAGTTTATTATAGAAATATTTTAAAATTTATTAAAATCTAGAAATGGATTTCTTCAAAAGCGAACAAAAACTCTTCCAGGGTTCACATTTTTGTAAATATTTCGCGAGCCGCAATTAAATGCAGAAAGTTGTTGTAAAATATGTTATAACTCTAACAAATAATATTAAATTGTGACATATATTGTGACATATATTAGACCAAATTGATAAAATGGTGTAGGTCTTTTAGAACTACAGAACATAGAGTTTGGGTTCAAGTCCCACAATAGTGATGTCTAATAATAGTGATATTTATTGATCTCAGGAATAAGTTTCAAGTATTCTTTGGCGTTACAAAAATGCCTACTATACCGTATAAATAGAGTTTAGATCTATCTTTAATCGTTAGAGACCAATAGGTCTATGCATGGATAACGGCCAATCAGACTAATCTAATTTCAATATATTAATTTGAGTTTTATTTTTAATAAGAATACTTTTAACTTAAAAGATGAAATTTTTTTTGAAGAGAGGTATAAGCATAAGTTACTGAATCCTAGTAGAAAAGAAGATCACTTATGTTCAATGTTTGACCGTATTCAGTATCTTCGTGTAGAAAGTCTAAGTCCTTATTTATAGATCCAATTAATAAACAAAAACAAATATTAATAAGAGTTGCGATTGATACACATATTTATAAAAGCAAATTTAAGGAAAACAATGCACATATAGTATATGATAATTAGAGAAAAAAATAAATGGGTGGAAATACCAAAAATGGAGTATATCCATTAGCTGTGAGTATATAAATCAAGGTAATCAATCAACCGAAGGTAATCATCTTCAGGGACTAAAACTTCAAAATAAAAACTAAAGAGCTAGTATTGACTTAAATGGGAATTCAGCTTCACACCAAAAAGAAAAGGGTTGACTCTTGGTGTATAAATCGATACAACCTAAAAGTAATATAATAATCTCCAGTGGTTTAAATTTCAAACTCACAACAAATAAAGGACCTAATATTGGTATTGACAAAAATTCTATTGTGATTATCTGATTTGTATTATAGCAATATGTTTTGACAAGCGTTTTATATATAATTTCGGAAGGTGTGTAAAAAAAATATCATCAATCTATTTTAAAATTTAGTTCAGTCTTCAACATATAGAGTAGCAAAGAGTGAAACTGGTAGCGGGGTAAACTTATACAAAGGCAATTAGACGAATCCACTGTCTAAATATTGAGGTAGTGTTTAAACCACATTTTCTCCTGCTGGTCAAAAATATTTGAAATCACATATATTTTAAATATGCTTTGATTTTTTGATTAATTAATTTTCTATATCGGTTTCTAAATTAGTTGAAGAGAATTTAACGAAATGTTACAGCAAATACAAAACCGCTAATAATGGTTTAGAATTAACTTTACTTTGTGTAGTTCAGTTAGTCTGTTAATATACCTATAGATCATATGAAACAACATAAAGAACCATCGATTTATATAATATTTAGATTTATAATTAACAAAATAAAATTATTTAATCAAATCATAAGATCAGAATTGTGAAAATTGAATAGAAAAATTAGCTCCCAACGTTTTCTCTCTATTAATGGTGAAGAGCAGGTTCACTCTATATTCGCCAAATGGAAAAGGTAATTGAATGGTGGAGTTTGAGAGAACAAATTTATTTACAAGTA